ACAAGCATGTTGGTAGTTGCCTCTCCAAGGCTCCTTCATAGCTCCTCTGTGACCATCGGATCTTTAGCTTTGGCTCACTAGGCTTGTGTGGAAGTTGTGGCTGATACTTCATGAGTGAGATTTGGTCGTGTATGAGTTTTCTATGGCTGTTGTCACAAATTGCTACAAACCGGTAGTTTAAAACAACAGAAATTTATGCTATCACAGTTCTGGAAGCCAGACGTCCAAAATTAGTATCACTAGTCAGGAACAACTTTGGTAGGACTGAGTTTCCTCTGGAGACTCCAGAAGAGGAAACTTTCTTGCCTTTTCCAGCTTCTGTTGGCTGCCAGCATTCTTTGGTGGTGTCCACATCACTCCAATCTTCAAAGTCAGAATTTTCCAAAGTCTCTCTGCTCCTTCATATTCCTTCTTCTTCTCCTCTGCATGTATGGACATGCATGTGTGAGTGTGTGTGTGTGTGTGTGTGTGTGTGTGTGTGTGTGATTTCTTTTGTCTCTCTTATAAGGATAGTATGATTAGATTTAAGGCTCATCTGGATAACCTAGGATAATCTCCCTGTCTCACAATTCTTAGCGCAATTAAATCTGCAAATTCATTTTTTCCAAATAAGGTGATATTTAGGTCAGGGATTAGAATCTATTATATTTGGGGACCTTTATCTTGCCTACTATAGGTCCCAATTTGTGCCCCTGCTTTAGCCCAACCTACTGGGCCTACCCCTCCTTTCTACTAATATGTTCTTTTGGAAAGTTCTTACAGAAAATTATCTTATAAATCAACACAGTGAAACAAAGGTTTGGCTTTCTTTTTTAAAAATTATTCTAGACCTTTATATACTTCCCCTACCTGGAAGCTAATAGTTCCTGGCTCTAGCTTGGGAGGTAAAGGGTGATTCTTACAGTTGTCAGTTGCTGACAGGCCCTCATAGTAATAGGCTTAGGTTTTACACATGCTTCATAGTGGTATATGTGCAAGATAAACAATCTACTTTCTTATATTTATGCACATGACATAATCTCAATGTCATAACATAGCATTCCTTTTTTTAATTCTTTAAAATTGATTTGAGAGAGAGGAAGGGATATATATATATATATATATATACAATATATACACACATACACACACATTACACTGAGTGGCCAAATTATTATGATCTCTGAACGCATAACAATCTGGCCACTCAGTGTGTGTGTGTGTGTGTGTGTGTGTGTGTGTGTGTGTGTGTGTGTGTGTTTTGTGTGTGTGTGGTGTGTGTGTGTGTGTGTTGTGTGTGTGTGTGTGTGTTTTGTGTATGTGTGTGTGTTGTGTGTGTGTTGTGTGTGTGTGTGTGTTGTGTGTGTGTGTGTGTGTGTGTGTGTATTTATTTATTAGAGGCCCAGTGCATGAATTCATGTGAGAGTAGGGTCCAGCCAGCCTGGCCAGGAGAAGGGGACATGGATGGTTGTCCGGTCTGCCTGTTGGTCAAGGGGACAATTTGCATATTAGCTTTTTATTATATAGGATATATATACTGAGTAGCTAGATTATTACAAGTTCAGAGATCATAATAATCTGGCCATTCGGTGCATATATCTTACAGGCATCTTCAAACTACGGCCTGCGGGCCACATGCGGCCCGCAGAGGAGTCTGATCCAGCCCGCCAGGTTTTTTGGGCAGTGAGCGCAGCCAAGGTGTTACAGTAGGAATTAGTAGTTCATATAGTCTGGCCTTCCAGCTCTCTGAGGGACCGTGATCTGGCCCCCACTTTAAAAAGTTTGAGGACCCCTGGACTTATGTAATAAAGAGGGAATATGCTAATTGACTGTCACAGCCACACAAAGATGGTGACCGTCACAGCCAATAAGGAGAGAATATGCTAATTGACTGTCATGCCCTCAAAGATGGTGGTTCCCACAGTCACAAGATGGCAGTACCCAGTCCCCTCAGCCCCACCAGGGCAGAGGTGTGTGGCATGGCTGGGTCTGCCCTCAGGCAGGTCCATCTGCTCCACATGCCTGCCTCTGGAGTCTCCCAGTCCCCTCAGCCACTCAGCCACCCAGAGCCAGCCTGAGGCACAGGCAAGCCTCGATGACAGCTGCCCAGCCGCCCAGGGCTGCCTGAGGCTCAGGTAACCAGGGCTGGCTTAGGCTTGTGCTGCTGGCAGTGGCAGCAACAGAGGTGTGATGGGGGTGTTGACTTCTCCTGATCACGGGTCACCTCCAGCCCCTGAGGGCTCTCAGACTGTGAGAGGGGGCAGGCTGAGAGACCCCCTTCATGCACTGGGCCTTTAGTATACCTCCATATATATATATGGAGAGAGAGAGAGAGAGAGAGAGAGAGAGAGAGAGAGAGAGAGAGAGAGAGAGAGATTGGTTGCCTTATGTATGTATCCTGACTGGGGATTGAACCTGTCACCTTTTGATGTACTGGATGATGCTCAACCAACTGAGCTACACTAGCAAGGGCTAACATTCATTCTTTTAAAAAAATATATTTGTACTGATTTTCAAGAGGAATGAAGAGGGAGAGAGAGATAGAGATAGAAACATCAATAATGAGAGAGAATCATTGGTCAGCTGCCTCCTTCATGCCCCACACTGGGGATCGAGCTCACAACCCAGGCATGTGCCCTGACTGGGAATCAAACAGAGACTTCCTGGTTCATAGGTCGATGTCACACCAGCCAGGACTAGCATGTCATTTTTGACATAATTTATGCAGGAGTGATGATGGAAAGGAAGACAGCTTGTGAAGGGGACACTGAGTCACACCCTGTCATCTTCACCTCTTTATGTAATATTCTGTCGGAAGTTCATGTAGATACACATCAAATTATAACACTATTTACCTCTAAGGAAGAGAGAGAGTTTCAGAAAGGGGTCCAAGAGGGACTTCTGGTTTTTACTCAATTGAATCATTTACTGTCAACATTAAATAAATGTTTTATTTGTCTAAGTAAAAAAAGATTTAAAAATATATCCTATATAATAAAACTCTAATACGCAAGTCAACCAAACAGCAGAACAGGCCAAACAATTGGTCGCTAAATGCAGACTGACCACCAGGGGGCAGATGCTCAATGCAAGAGCTGCACTGGTGTGTGGGGGGAGGCAGCTCCTGTGTTGAGTGTCTTCCCCCCCAACCTCCAGAGGTAGGCAATCAGCAGCAGCAATCAGGGGGCGGGACTGGCAGGTGGCGGCACCAGGTTGCCTGCCAAGGTGGGTGCCAGTAAGGCACCCCTACCCCAATCGTCCCACCTGCCGGTCACCTTGTAGAGGGAGGCGACCGGTGGTGGCAGTGGGGGGTAGGGCCGGCTAGAGGAAAGCACCAGGCTGCCAGCCTAGGTGGGAGCCAGTGGGGGCCCCGCATCATCCTGCCCACCAGTCACCCCACAGATGGCCCTGATTGCCAGCCAGGCCTAGGGACTCTACCCTATATGTTGGGAACAGTCTCTTAGATTTAAAAATTAAAACCTGGCAAGGCTACTCTAACACTAAAAAAACAGGATGATGCAGGGATGACATACATGACAGTGGCTTGCACATTTTGTGGTCAGCCCTGATTCTGACACTTATAACTGTGTGACAAAGCCAATTATTAACTTCTCTCTGCTTCAGTTTTTCCACCCATAAGATGGGGAAAATGGTACTGCTGCCTCAGAAGGATCATGTTATGCACTACTTTTTATAGTCAGGGTCAAAACATGTAGCTGCCCATACAACAACAAGATGCCTTTCATCTGTAAGAAAAGTATGGTCATGGGTGCATGCAGCATCCTGGGTTGTGAGAGGGATGTCTGACTGCTGGTTTAGGCCCTCTCGCGCAGGCTGGGCTGAGGGACACCCTCCCCATGTGCACGAATTTCCTGGCACACAATGATCCCGGTTAAGTAAAATAAAACCAAATTATAGATGTATATCTTTACATATATGAATATTAAAGGAATAGGCAAAATTCTGAAAAGATGCTCATTTCGAGGCTCACAGTGTTTACCTTTATGGAGAGAAGGACACACAGATAGAAGTGTGACTTCCAATATTTCTTCTATATATCTCCTGTTGTTTGAATTCTTTACTATGAAAATATAATCTTGGAGTATGGTGTTTAATTTTAGGTGTCAACTTGGCTAGGCTCTACTGCCCAGATGCTTGGTAGTATCAACAGACCAGGAAGATACTGTGGAGGCAAAGACAGCAGGAGAGAGAGTCACAACCATGATATCATCCCAAGTGCAATAGGTGAGCTTTACTTAAATGATACAGAGGGTCTGACTGAATAGTAATATTAGCTTTCTAGATAGAAGTGTTGGAGCACTATCATAAGCATCTGGGAGGCAAGAGGAGACATTACAAATAGGACAGTTCAGGAGACATTTCTAGAATCATCCAGTTTTAGCCCACCCCTCCCTTATGTTTGGACAGACTGTAAGATCACCATGTCCACCAGGCTCCCCAAGGGCTTGGTGGCAGGAACTATCCATGCACTAGCAGCAGTATAGTGTAACGAAAGGAGCACAGGTCCCAAATTTTAAAAAGCTTAACTTTGCCCTTGCTGATTATCTCAGTTGGTTAGAGCAGTGGCCGCCAACCAGTGGGACCACTGGTGGTCTATGAGTTCCGAAAGGTTGGTGACCACTGGGTTAGAGCATCTTCCCAATACACCAAGGTTGCAGGTATAGTTCTCAATCTGGGCACAAAGAAGCAACCAATGAATGCATAAATAAGTGGAACAACAAATCCATTTTCTCCTTTCTCTCCCCCCACGCTCTCTAAAATCAGTCAATCAATCAATCGATCGATCTTTGCTTAGCTTTACAACTCTGTGACCAGGGCAATCTCATAATTTCTCTTGTACTCAGGTTTTACCATTGAACCAGGAAAGTTTTTACCATTGATCTCCTGGGCTAGAAAGAGTAAGATTCCACTGCCCTGCAGGATCTCCCCGCCCACCCCATCAGCCTTCCTCTCCAAACTCTTGGAAACTAAGTCTCCCCATAGAGAGCCCCAGGGTCCAGAGCAGGTAGGTCTACCAGGGAGGTTCCTTGTTGGAGGATGGTTAAGCTTCCCTACCCCCATATTCATAGCCCCTGACCCCAGACAGCTCTGAAGACCAAAATCTAGGGATAACCTACACCAGGGCACCCAGTCGAAAAGGATTGGATCACAGGCGCCCCTTTTGGCTCCTCAAGCGGGCACCCAGATCCCTTCCTCCCGCCTCTGAATAGACTGCGGCAGTAGAAGGAGCTTCAACACCAAGGACTGGGACATTTGGGTCCATCAGGCCAGCAGAAAGGGAAAGCAGGAGCCCAGTACGGCTCCAGAGGGGCGTCCTGGCCCATCTGCGATCCTTGTGCGCCATCTGGTGAAGAGTGCAGGCACTGCAGCAAAAGAAGCGTTGCAGAAGCCTCATTTGACCCAAGCACCCATTTCACTTTATGGACTGTCATATTTCTCTGTAGGTACTAGGACCCTAACTCTGGGCTGCAGGAAATGGCGGCATGCGCAGGCGCACACAAGCCAGACTCAAGGGCACAGAAGCCCAGGGCACGCACACGCAGGAAGGTCTCACACTGGACTAAGTACTAATGTGCACATCTTATGCGCAGGCTGCGCAGACCCCTGGAAGACTAATGGGTTCTTTCTGCATCCACCTTTTTTTTTCCTTTTCAATCTAGAATGTCCTGGCATCCCACAGAGATTGTGAAAGTGCATGCGCAGTAGCTCCAGACACTGAATAGACATTAGAATAAATTGGTGAGCTATTAAAAAGATACGCATACTTTGCATCAATCCAAAACTCCATCCCACCTACTGTTACTTTCCATCCTTTTAGCCCACTTATTTTCAGAGGTTTTGGTGTATGCCCTGCAGAAACAACCAAGCCACTGAGCCCACCCACCAAAGTCCTATTAAAGTGCTCTCCAGACACTCAACTCACTTCCTTTACTTGGATTCAAAGTCACTACTCCCTGGCTGGTAATCACCTTTTGCAGTTAAAGAACCAAACAACCCCATTGCCAACTGGGAGTCCCAGGTTGCTGTTGCCCCCCCCCCCCCCCAACATCATCCCCGGCAGACCCTTCCTTCAATTGCCTACAACAGAGGAAACACGCCTGAAACAGTCAATGATATTTATTGAAGAGAAATATTTACTGAAAACATTGAAGAAAAGGAATGACGATATAGAGGAAGTTCAAATGGCCCCTAGGGCCCATAGGTCTCGACACTTGCCTTAGCTGCCCCCATTTGCCACAACCCTCCCACCAGTTCCCCTTCCTGAGGCCCCCACGTTCAGCCTTTACCAGTAAAATGGACACTAAACAATGTCCACTCGCTGCAGGTTCCCCTTCCCTTGTGGCCAAAATGCTGGGGCCTGGTTTATGGCCAGCACAGGATAGTCAAGGACGTTGGAAAGCATGACAAGAGACACTCCACTGTGCTGAGGAAACTGAGTCACAGGGAACAACAGGGTGGCGCATCAGAGCACAGTCCCCATGGAGCCTCTAGAAGCTGCCTTCTGTCCTAGTTCAGTTCTTCCTAGGGTCACTGGATGAACTCTGGCCCCCAGAGGAGATAGGAGTCTCATCTACCCAATTTTGTCCCTGTTTCCCAGCTCCTCTGGGATAGGCTTGAGCACCACTTTAAGGTGCTCCTCAGCCTCACCTGCCTGGGCCAGGCCCTCTGGCTCACCGCCAGGACCTCCTGGACCTGCCCCAGAAGCAATGCCCATGTGGATAGACAGGGGGCTCCCAGGGGCTTCTGAGGGTCCTGTCTGACCTTGGCCTGTAAGGGTGGGAGGATTTTCATCTTCCTGAGTGGGAGTCCTTGGTGGTATGTTTACTTGACGCACTCTCAGCATCATCTTCAATGGAGGTCTCAGTGGAAAGTTCTCTGGCTAGGCAGGCCTCAGCAAATGCTTCACTGATGGAGGAAGTATCTTCAATGGCAGGAGTGGTCTCAGGAGTGTCTTTAATGAGGTGGCTTTAGCAGCATCTTAATGGGCTTCGATGGCTTTGGTACCATCTTCATAGGATGGGGTGGCCTGGGCCCTCCTCCATCGGCCAGAACCTGCCCCTCAGCAGCCAGGAGCTTTCTCCTGCCCAGACCTTCGCAGCCCAGTACCCAACCCCCCCTCCCCACCAGCACCCACTTCAGACCCCTGTCTGCTTCCACTGTCCTCCTGCCTGGCCGGAGATCCAGCCCCTATCCAGGGCACTGGCCCACGATAATTCTGGGATCTGGTCCTAGTGAAGCCACTAGTCACCTGCTAACTCTCTCCACAGTGCTTCCTGCGGGCTGCAGAGCCAACACTTTTTTTTTATTTATATTTTATTGATTATCTTCACAGAGAGGAAGGGAGAGGGATAGAGAGCTAGAAACATCGATGAAAGAGAATCATCGATCAGTTGCCTCCTGCACACCCCCTACTGGGGATGTGCCCACAATCAAGGTACATGCCCTTGACAGGAATCAAACCTGGGACCTTTCAGTCCGCAAGCCGATGCTCTATCCACTGAGCCAAACCGGTTTCGGCTGCGGAGCCAACTCTTGGTGACTTTCACAGAGCCCTGAAGCCAGAGAGTCAGAAGATCGTGGCTCAGGGCTGTGGAGTTCAGGGGTCTCCTGGGTAGCCCCCTCAGAGTTAAGGGCAGGTGAGCAGATGAGGCAGACTGATCTCTGCATCAGGATACAGGGCAAATGACTGGCTCCGGAGGCGTCAGTGTTGCCCTGGCAATGGATTCATGAGGCAAGGCCTGGAGCCTACAGCCATTGGTCCTCCAGCCACAAAATGACCTAGTGGGGTTGTGCAGAGGTGAGGAGGAAAAGATAGCAAAGAGAAAATTCATTGTTTGGAGTGGGGGCTGGCAGACTGGAGTCAGTGGACAGCTGGATGCTACATCCCTAGTGCCTATCTCTGCTCACAGGTCAACATCACCATGTCAGGAACCTCAACTACAGAGATGGTGGTTGTTCCCTACTCAAGAGCCTCATCACAGCTCCTTATGGTGAAAAGCCAGTGGGGGCAGGAGCAGCAGAGGAACACATCTGGTGTTTTGTGTGACATTTGGGTGAGGATCCTACTAATGAACTCTTCTGGTAGATTATTTTTTTTTAATGTCCCAAATTCTTCACCACTCCCTTTATTATCACCCTTTTCAAAGAACTCTCTTCTTCACCAAGCAGAGTTGATTTCCTCACCTCTGATATCTAGTCTGGACTGGTGACTTGTTTTGGAAAACAGAATATGAGAGAAGTAAGTGACAGGGGTGCCAATTGCTGTTGATCACGGGGCACATTTTTCTGTTATTTCACATGTTTTGGCATTTTTAAAAATTATATGCCTAGCATTATGTTAAGCCATAGGGATTGAAGTAAATACTTTCTCCCAAAGAGGAGATTCTTTCCTCACCCAGGTACTATAATTTCCCTGAGGTATATAACTTCAATCCAATCAGGATTTGAGCTGGATCATGGCTTGGGTTCAATTTTAGTTATTATCAGTTTAATATCTGGTTCCTATGCCTTGTGTCCTATGTGTATTACATACTGCTCCCTCTAGTTGCTAGAGTCAAGCAGGACTCTGGGATCTAAACACCAGAACACTATAGTATACTCCTTTGGGTTCTCAGTCTTTCTTGCCCCTCCTTGTTGCCCATGTGATGTCACAGCCAGAGGAAGGCCATTTGCAAATCAAAAAGAAAATCTTCACCAGAACCTGACCATGCTGGCACCCTGACCTTAGATTTCCAAACCTTCATAACTGTGAGAAATATCTGTTGTTTAAGCCATGAAGTCTGTGGTATCCTGTTATAGCAGCCTGGATTGACCAAGACAGCATTCCATGAGTCTCGAGGCTCTGTTCATTTTACTTCATTCTTTTCTTGTTTGTTTATCAAACTGGATAATCTCATCTGACTTATCTTCATTTGCTGACTTTTCTTCTGCCTACTCTGCCATCTTGTGAAGCTCACCGATGGACACTCTACGAAAATCCCCCTGCCCCGCCACTGTTCACTGCTTCCTGAGGCTCCCATTAGCGAAACTCACTGCCACCTGGGTGACTGCTCCACTAAGCTCAAGGCAACCCCTTGAAGCAGTCCACCACTGCCACTCAACAGTCCCCAGTCCTGAGGCCAGCACCCACTGGTGAGCAGATCCTGGGCTGAGGGAGAGGGGGTACCAAGGTGCTCCATGCACTTCATGGTGATCAGTCACCTGTTTGGTCATGACGCCACCTAGCTCTTTATATATATTAGGATTTTATATAAATCCTAATATATATAAATTTACAACCGTGAAATTTCTATCTGATTCTTTTTCATAACTTTGATTACTTTTTATATTCTGTGTTTGTTATATTTTTTAAATATGTCATAGTTTTTAGTTTTTAGTTTTAAATATATTATATTGATTTTTTTTTACAGAGAGGAAGGGAGAGGGATAGAAAGTTAGAAACGTTGATGAGAGAGAAACATCAATCAGCTGCTTCCTGCATACCCCCTACTGGGGATGTGCCCGCAACCAAGGTACATGCCCTTGACCAGAATTGAACCTGGGACCTTTCAGTCCGCAGGCCAACTCCCTATCTACTGAGCCAAACTGGTTAGGGTATGTTTGTTGATATATTATTCTTGTACTTCCTTTAGTTTTCTAGACATGGTTTCCTTTAGCTCTGTGTGATAGTCTTCAACATTCAACCAGGCAGTTTACAATACAACTTAACCTTCACTTCCTACTTGCTTAGAGCCTTAAAATCAGGCAGAGGTGAGAACTTTGAGCCTTCTGAGCTGTTTCTTGAGCATGCATATATCCCAGCAAATGCACATGGTATCCTAGACTCTCAGGAATATGTCAGATCTTTCCACAGCCTCTATGGAAATCTGTAGTGTAATAGGAAATATATATTTAGTCTCTTTCCGCAGTACCTAGCACAGCACTTCTAAAATCCTGGTAATTTTCCTAAAAGATAGGAGTAATAGGAACATGTTTTGTTCTAATATATAGTCTTTGTCCTTGGTTCATAGCATAGAGTTCCTAAATCTCTTGTAATTTCCTGAATTATAAGAGTGGTGTTTTTTTTTCTTCGAATAAGGTGATTCTTGGTGGACTCCTGGATAGTTTCAAGAGGAGGCTGGTCAACAGAAAGACTAAGCCTTGATTAGAAGTCTAGAAGTTTCAGTCCCAACTCTCAAACCCCCAGGGTGGGGGAAGAGGGGCTGCATATTGAGTTAATCATTAATCATACCTACATGATGAAACCTTAATAAATAAACCGAAATCATTGAGTTCAGAGATATCCTGGGCAAACACATCTATATCCTTGGAGGGAGGCACTCCATGGACTAGAGGCATCTGCACTCAGGACCCTTCTTGAATTTGCCCTATATATGTGATCATCTGGCTATTCGTTTGTATATTTTACATTATACAAATAGTATACTTTACACTAAACTGATAAATATAAGTTAACGGTTTTGTGAGCCATTCTAGCAAATAATTAAACCTAAAAGGGAAGTTGTAGGAAATCCCAATTTTATAGTCAAGTGGGACAGAAATGTGGGTAACCCAAGGTCCCGATATTTGCTATTGGTGTTTGAGCTTCAGATAGTCTTGTGGGATGAAGCCCTTAAACCTGTGGAGTCTGATGGTAGCTCCAGGAAGTGTCAAAATTGACTAAATTATAGGACACTTATTTGGAGTCCAAATTGGTTGGTGCCCAGAGGAGGTGAGGGAGGAACAACCTCTTAACATCTCATTCCTCGGATTTTTCTTTTAAGCTTTTGGGTGGAACTACTATTTGCCCTATTTATTATCTATTGCCTGAGTCAGCTATGTTAAAACACTTGCAAACAGATGATTCCAACAGATATTCCAGTTGAAAGATTTTTAACACTGGTGACCTCTAAAGTCAAAAACCAAAAATCTTGAGTGGGGTCTTCCAGGAAGCTACCCCTGACAGGTCAAATAATGACAGTTCTTTTGGGATGAGATTTTTAAAAGCTCTACCTCCATTTTCCCCCTCTGGTACCAGCAATGTGAGTTGTTATTTTTCAAGGCATCTGCCTAGGTAGAGTGTGGGGAATGAGATTAAGGCAAATTAAAACACCAAAAAGCTCACTCTTGCTATTGAGATTGAACCATTTTTTAAAAATAAATATAACTTAAGACTTTGCTTAATTTCCAGAGTTCTGAAAAGGTTAATGCTGACAAATTTTCCCAGTTTTCTCATTGCTTTCATGGATGGGCACTTTTGTAGGCCCTTACTTCACCACTTTAGCAAACATCTTCATGCTATTTATTTCTCTTTCTGATGACACTCAAGATTATGGAAACTGGAGGCTTTCTTCCACAGCTTTCCAGAGTCCATTCTCATTCTTCAGCTCTCCAAATATTGAGAGTGATTACTGCTTGGTTTGGCTTTTTCTTATTTCAGAGAGTAAAGGAGAGGGAAAGAGAGATAGAAACATCAACAATAAGAGAGAATCTTTGATCAGCTGCCTCCTGCACACCCCAAAATGGAATCAAGCCCACAACCAGGCATGTGCCCTGACTGGGAATTAAACTGTAACCTCCTGGTTCATAGGTCGATGTGCAACGACTGAGCCACGCTGGCTGGGCTGGTTTGGATTTTTTTTTTAATTTCCAGTTTGCAGTTAAATGTCTCCATTCATGAGAGTGGTACATAGTCAGGATCTCAAAAAATAAAATAAAATAAAATAAAATAAAGACTTTTTCTTATAGGTAGAAATAAACAAGGTTGGAATGAACTGGGAGAGAGAGACATA